GGGTTAAAGAAAGGGCAGAAACGTTGGGAAAAGTGTAGCGACCTGAAAGGAGATTACGTTGAAAAATAAAAAAAAAAAAAGTGAAAAACTTGTGTCTTTATTCCTAACACAGGTACTTATTGATCGACCCTCGTAGTTTATAACTTCTTGTCTACATGTTTTCAAATCTTACGTTATAATATGCGACACTGTTTTCTTTGCTGATAAAAACAAAGTTAATGCCATTTATTTATCATAAAAATTGTATAAAATACAGCATTCTCAAATACAATGCAAGTGCCCTAACAGGAATGGGCATTGAAATGCAGAGTGACAACAGGCACTTAAATAAACTCAAGCCAGCTCAAGCTACCACTGTTTCAAAAGCCCTGCCTTTAAAGGTTAATCAGAGTTCCAACAGCTGCATCCTTCTGATGCACAACTAAATGACATTATATTGCCTGATTTCATGTATTTTTGAGGGACCATTTTCATATTATCTTCAATTTTTTAATTTATTTGAAAACTGGGATGTTATGTTACACACACAAAGCACCTGTAAGCAGGGTGCAGCTGATAAGCTGCCATGAAAGGCACTACCACACTTCTCATTCATACGTACAAGTCAGTGTGGTATAAAAAGGAAACCCATTCATTCTCTTTAAGATAATTCATACTGTAAAAAGTAAAAAAAGTAAATGTATCCCTTTAACAGGCTCTGGAAGCCCATAGGGTTGTGAGTTGTTGAGGCTCCCACATTTTCTAGACAGTCAGCTTGCAGATGGCAGTGAGGTTGTCAGCCTTATGCACTGGCCACCCTTTACCCCCAGGAATATCCCTGGTACTCTTTCTGTTAGAGGCTGAGTTGACCCCAGGGCCATAGTGCTGGAAGGATTAGGTAAATTGAAAAAATCCACCTCATCGGGATTCAATCCCGCGACCTTTGGGCTTGTAGTCTAGTGCCTCAACCATTTATGCTACCGTGTGCCCAAGTTCATACTGTATAATTTTTAATTTTGTACCAAATGTGAATAGCCTATATATGCACAGTTTCTAAAGTTTGTTTTAAGAATAATTATTATTAAGAAGATTAGGCACTTTAATACTTCAGTTTTGAAATCTGGAAAGTTTAATGTGATTTCACATCAATTTATTAAGTAGATTAAGCCTTTTCTGTTGTATGTTCCTGTAAATATAAGAGAGTGTTACTGTCCATATGTGGAGATGGATGGTGTCATTTGATTGTCTTATAATGTACATCGTAAACTGAATACAAAGTTTACATATCCCTAAATAGTATTTACTGAGCGCACATGCTCGATCTGGGGAAGGAGTATATAGTACTAAAATTTTATGAGGAGAAAGGATTTGTTTTGAGTGGTGTACAACTAAATAAATCTAATTATTTTAGATACTGGCACGAATATGTTTCCACTGCCACTTCATACTTGTGGAGCAGGTTGACAAGACTGCATCCCTCTACAGCCGCTCCATTCAAGATCATCATGTCTGTCTTTTGGTTAAGGTAATTACTATGCACTTTTTATGCAATAAATGTTCTCCAAAAAATGAAACATATATCAAACATGTAAGATGATTCCATTACAGTATTGAATGTCTTTGTTACAAATAAGTATGGATTTGGCCTATTGTTTTCTCAGTATTTCAAGATTCATTTTAATACCTGAGCTGTAACAGTTGTCCAGCCAGTGGAGCAATATGGTAGATGCTGGTCAACCATTTCATAAATGTGTTGTATTTCAAAATTAGATGAATATTTTTATGGTTTTCCCTGTGCCTCTGAAGTGCCTCACATCCGTCGTAGCTGTGGATTTCATGTTGGTAGCTCCTCTTTGCTTCTACCCACTCTCTACTTGTGGATGGTAGATGTATTCATCCCTGACACCATTGTCATATACACAGTGCTTCCCAGTTGGAATGGAGTGTCCAAGCTTAAGCCTTCAGCAAGAAAAGGTGCACCATCATTGCCAGACAACCCAGATTGCAATGTTACCGAGTTATATGGTCATAACAGTAACACAGTATGGGGCAGTAGCAAACCCAAACAAATAATAATTAAATACCAAACAGAAAACCTTGTCACAACATCCTAAACGAAAAATTTACTTTCCATTTCAACAAGGAGGCCCTTGTTCTCAATGGGCTGGAGCAAAGCACTGAGAAACACAATTTGGAGAAACCATATTGAAACAGAATTTTGCGACCCAATTTGCCAACTGATGTTAAGCAGCAGACTGCTCTCATATCTCCACCCACAGTAAAGGAGGTCTTCCTTTCCAAACATGGGAGGAAGTGGAAATCACATGGTAAAAAGGGACNCGATGAAGCATGGAAGGGTACTAGGCCAGAAGGTGCTACACCAGAGCAATCCAAGTAGGAAACATGGTTCACATGTTTCTCTGCCTTTTGAGATTAAGAAGAATGTCACTTTTTTTTTTGTATGCAGCATGAGAAAATACAGTGATCATGAAAAATAAAGCTGACATTGAGATTTTGAAAGATGTGCACATATTCAGCCCCTTGGTTATGAAAAATAGTTTTCTTGGAAAGTTGTCTGTCTGTCTGTATGGATGTGAGCGTCACCAGTGCCTCAATGTGATGGATTTTATCCATAGTCAGTATTTAAAAGTTATCCATTAATGGTCAGTGCCCAGTGAATATGAACATGCTAGTTCCAGAAATAGAAGCCCTACATATAGGCCTCAAAACACAAAATGGCGAGTTTTTGTTGAAAATTGCTCAAAGATTTTGCCTAAATTTCACTAATTCTTGGAGCCCCTATCCCTAAATAAAATCACATAGGTGGTATTTTCAAGAAAATAACAGTACTTAACATTAGTGGCCCAAATTTGAAATGTCTGTTTTCCCAAAACAGACTTTATTTAGCAGATGAATAATTGTTTGGTATTCAGCAGTGAAAGTGATAGCCTCTAAGCAGACCCAACAGAAAACACCGCTTCCAAAAGTTCTTCTAATGTTGGATGATGTTTCTATCCATGTGGACCGCATAGAAAGCACCATTCCCAGCGGTACTCCCACTGATTTCTTTGTGTGGCATGACATGTTCCAGTGTTGCATCACTGTATATTGTGCCATAACCTAGTAACAGACATCATTTCTGATTAAACTCTTCTGGATTTCAGCAGAAATGCCAAAATATATTCAGAATCGAAGCCTACCTGTGCAGATGATTGTATGATGAAAGGAAATTCTAATTTGTGTATTGTAATAACTTTTCCATTTTTGTATACTGGACGCTAGGAAGTTTTGTAGGGTTGGATAAATATGGTACTCATTTTAAGTGACAGGACAACATATTATATGACAGTTATTTAAGTGCATTGGAGATTAAAGTATTAATGAGTGTGCATGTGAGGTATACATACGTTATGACTATTTGACTTGGATTGGTACTGTTAACTATTGATTATGCTTATGTTTTTTTTAGTCTGCAAATAGTGGCAGTGATGTGAAGGTCTCCTTAGAGGGTAAAAGCAATTGTGATATACTTCTTGCAAACATTCTCTCCGAGATTGAGGTATTGCTCCACACTTCAAAGCCGCAAGAATCGTCAGCGTAGCTCCTGCCTGTACCGGCTCATTCCAGTATCACCATATGTGAAAATGTTTTTAGTCATCAAATTCCATTGTGTTTATTTTTGGTATTGAGGTATCAGAAGAAACATTTGTTTCCCAGGAATTTCCTGTTTTTATTACCACTTACATAGATATAAATTATAAATTTAAAGTACTGTCCATACATAATACAGGTAAATTGTGGGCACTGCTGCTGTAACATAAAATAACTGAAAGTATGCTGTATATGTTTTTCATTGTCTGGATGCCATGTGAACCTCAAGACTGCATTTGTTCTTGATAAAATCTTGAAAACTTGATTGAAGATCAGTTTAATTGCTGTCAGTGTGAGAAGTTTTCTTGGCTCCTTGTGTTGGAATTCACATGGCCTACTGCTCTGCTTACACCAGCCACTTACATATGCAGTAATACCATATTCCTAGTGCTCATTCATGTCAGTATTTATTTATCAAAACATAATTTGTGGGATCTACAAGGCAGATGCTTGAAATTTCAGACATCACCATTCTGATTTGATCTGTCAGCAACAAGTTGAAATATAAAGACAAGTTATTTGAAAACAATTGTGAGTTGGACTTAAGGTTGCCAGCAGTGGACATCATCTTGTCTTATGAGTGAGACTTGATATTCCAGTGCAAGGGGTTAGTGATATAAAGTTGAAGGAAGTGCAAGAAAATGTAAAAATATTTCATTTTTAAATGAATTTGAGAAGTAATAGTGCATAATGAAGGTCACTGTAAGGTAAAGTTCATTAGTTATTTCATGAGATATAGGGAGAGACATGATGAATTATAGGCAGAAGGAAAATAAAATTGGGAATTGTAGTCAGTTCTGAAACATTGGGTAAATTTGCAATTCTGTATTCCAGCATCCTGTTGCAAAACTTTAATTAAAACGTCTGTGTATCCACAGTCCGTCTATAATGCAGCAATTGTTTATTCACCATTTAACACTTAACATGTTTCAGCCATAGATGGCCATCTTCAGGTGTTAATGTATTAAAACTGTTACACTGCTCTAATGTGCCCGAAAACTGCACGCTGCAGTCCACTTAAAATAACATAAAAATAATTAATTAAAATCCATTAAATTTTTCTATTAAATTCTTCATTAGTTATTTAAAATCATATTCCACCTCATAAGGGGTGTCGTCTGCTTGTTTACAGGTATGTGATAATTCCTGAAGGTTTCTTCAGCAGCTTGTTTCTCTGTTCGTTAGCCCCTTGTTTTGCTATGTCTGCAATCTGTAATATGCCCCTTGCTTGTGTATTGTTTCCTCTGGCAGTGTGTGGTGTTGTCTTCACTAGACTAGACAGTTAAATGTTAAATGGTGAATAAACAATTGTTGCATTATTGAGGGACTGAATACATAGATGTTTTAATAGGGTAAATTTCTTAATTTCAGGCACATCTAAAGGTTGTGTCAAATTAAGCATACAAAAGGAAGACAAAAGTTTCTTTGTTATGTAATAACATTTCAGTCATGTTAAAATATAAACAAGATGATATGGAATGACAATGTATTTGAAGGTACCATCACAATAAATTTTTCCAGTGACTGTGACTGCCATTCTTAAAGAATCAAAAAGTTCTTCTGTATTTTGAGTTTAAAATCAAGTGAAATGATCTCTTGCTTGAAGTACTGAAAGTCCACTAACAGTGCTGAAGGTATAAATTTATTCATAGTTTTCACATTTTTGTTAACCGTTCAGCGTGGTTTGACGTGTATGTTTCGTCAAGGTATTTAAATCATCTGCGGGGGTTCGACGTCTATGTTTCGTCCAGCTGCACTTCTATATTATAACGCCCATAATAATTGATGGTTTTGCTGTAGATTGTTAGATTTTTCGCTGGCCTGTTGTGAGGAGAACCGTATCTAATGAGGCATTTGTTTAGCTGCGCTAAGTCATCGTTACATATGCCTGTCTTGCAGCAAAATCGTGTTGCTTCTGGTAGTGGTTTCCTCCTTCAAACTGTTATGAATGGCGTGTTTTCTTTCCTATGAAGTTATAAACAGCAGAGACGTGATATGTGCTGTGTTTATAATATCATATTGCCCTGAGCTGGCCACACTAACACACTCAATTGGAATTCTTAGAAGAGGGATGTCAAAATTTTATTCTTGCAAGATCGATTGATTTCGCACAGTACATGGCAGCCAGTTCTTAGAAAAACGCCACAAATTAAGGCAGAACACTGTGGTCACCCCCTGTGACGATACGGGTGTGTGTGGGGGAGGGAAAAGAACTCATTCCTTCATGTATTATCGCTCCAGTTGACTCCATTTTATCGTACTGACCTTGGTGGTCGTTTCGAGGGATGACCATAAATATTTTTTTGAGCCAGCTAAGCTCTGCTTTCGTTCACTACATACCAGCCAGTTCTTAGAATAACTTCATGAATTCTGTGGTCACCCCTACGACGTCTTATGCCGCCAAAATGGATGGAAAATGAAACGCAGAAGCACCAACACTTGTTATGATAACATAAAGGTTGAATTTACTGCAGCTAATCTGGCTAGCGATATGACTCATGGAGAGACATTAATTCTTGTATTCCCCCCACGGGGAAGAAGGCAAGGCCGCACAGAAGATGTTTGGTTTACGGAAAAAAGAGCCAAATGAGAGATACGCAGTACTGGTGTGGTGAATGTGAGACAGCGCTGTGTATAGTAGAATGCTTCAATGCGTACCACACTCCGCTCAAATTCTGAACCACCTGCTTCCTTTGCCGAGATACCGGGCGCTCATATTATAAGGCAAGGTTATAAAACCATCTTTTAAGATCATTTTAGTGAAAGTTTCATGCTTCAAGGCGTACGATACACTGCTCAAATTCTAAACCAACTGCTTCCATTGCCGAGATACCGGGCGCTCATATTATAAGGCAAGGTTATAAAACCACCTTTTAAGATCATTTTAGTGAAAGTTTCATGTTCCTGTCTCATATAATTTAAGAACAATGATGAATAAATCATTTTCGAGCAAAATTTAAATGGACGGCTGAATATATTACCGCCGGAGAGACACGGCAGCGGAATTTAAATGACCGCGCAAAAGGGTTAATTATTTTGTCTTACACTGAGTTAAGTATAGTAAATATTCATGTTAAAAATGGCTGAGAAGTGTTTCATACTGGTGATGTAGTGAAATATTTAACCCTTTCCATGCTTGTTTTTTTGGCAAGAAAAACTTTATTCTCTTCGTGCATTTTTGTGGTTCTCTGTTGGAAAGTCACATGCATCTGGTGGGAGATGACAAAGGAGTTTTCTTTTCAATATATGACATAAACTCTGTCCTAAGTGCAACAATTTATTGTAGTTCTTTCGTCTTGCTTTCTTCTACACTACATGTTTTGGCCGCAAACAGCCATCATCAGGTGTATACTCTCATGTAGCTGCTACACTGCACATAGTTTAAAATTTAAAAAAAACACTAGTGAACACTTACAGAATAGAACTACAAATAACTACAACAGCCTCACTAACTTACATACTGAAAAGAGGACTGTAACCACAGAATGTATGAATCCTTCTCAGTTTGCTTTGTCTTCATCAGTCATTGCCTCGTGGTGAATCCTAACAAAGTTCTCAGGTTCATACCGGCTGGCGACTGTCTCACAACTAACTGACTACTCGCAAAGGCATTTCTGCCTTTTCGTCCCATGAAGCGGTCAATCTGATAAATTTGATAATTTCAAATAAAGAACCTCTTTGGGTTTTGAGATGTGTCCCTGAGAACAGAGCCACATTTTTATGTAATTGCTGCAGCTGTTTACTGAGCTCAAAGTGCTGTCCACAAATGCCATTTGCATTAAATGCTATGACTTTGCATGGACTAATAACTCTAGCAGCCATTTTGTTTCATTAAGTACAATTTTTAGAATGTCCTTTATAATGAACGCTTCTTCAGAAACTTCCGATTGTGCCCCTAAAGAGATCTTTCAGACATTTCATGGAATAAATCATGGACATAAATCAGTGCAACAGGACGCTAAACTATAACATCATTTCATGGAACCCAAAATTCCATTACCATGTTCACAAGAGTCCTTCACTGGTCCCTATCCAGAGCCAGATCAGTCCAGTTCATGCCATCCCATCCTACCTCTCTAATATCTATTGTTAATATTGTCCAACCACCCATCTCTTGATCTTCCTAGTGGTGTCTTTCCTTTTGGCTTTCACACCAATATCCTATATGCATTCAACTTCTTCCCATTCATGCTATGTACCCTGCCTATCTCATCCTCCTTGACTTCATCATTCGAATTATACTTGGCAAAGAGTACAGGTTGTGAAGCTCCTCATGCAATTTTCTCCAACCTCCCATTACTTCAGCTCTCTTGGGTCCAAATATTCTCCTCAGCACCCTCTTCTCAAATGCCCTTGGTCTATGTTCCTTAATGTCAGAGACCAAATTTCACACCCATACAGAACCACAGGGAAAATTATAGTTTGGTATATTCAAATTTTTATGTGTTTAGACAGTAGATGAGAAGACAATGGCTGAATGAATGGTAACAAGCATTACCAGAATCCAATATCCTGAACATAGTAGCACACCCTACACTGGGCACTTCTCCAGAAGTGAAAATCCTCTTCGTTTAACACATCTGGATTTAAAGGGTAAATGCCTCTTTAACAACCTCAGGCACAGCTTTTGAAATAGCAGCAATTGTGCTGAGTAAAGAAGGAATTTGTTCCATTGTTAAATCTCAGATTTTTCTATTTTATTAAACGCCATGTACCTGATATCTCTAGTTCATTCAGGTTTTGTAACATGTTCTCTATTTCGCCTCATGAAGTCTTGTGCTTAGTCTTTCCAACTAATTCGATTTTGTGCTTAAATTTATGATTTGCATATTTTTGTTCTGCAAACTCTCTTCCAATTCTCTGTAGCTCAATAAAAACTCCCCAGAAAACATGCCTGAAAGTTGCAACATGTGTGTGAACACAGCTTTCGTTCCTGTTCTTCTGTAAAAGATCTTCCTGTTTTCAGACCACCTGTCAGATTAAGTTTGAACCGTTGCCTTAGAGTAGCTTTGTGAATGTGAAATTGTTGAAAATTTTCCTGTATTTTTCTCCAATTTCTAACGGCAGCAAAGGCAGCTTTCAGTTGGTCCTGACTCCATGAGCCCTTGGATGTTGTTTTCTTGTGGATAGGATGACTTCTTGGAGCCTCAAAATTGATGTGCATACCACTACCCATTGTATATCAATATCCCTCTTTTGTCTCCCTGAACAAAATGGAGAAATTTTGGCGCAAAGAATGGGGAAATGTGAGCTATAATAATAAATGTCGAGGGATATCATTAGAAAGTTCCCAGTTCAATGTTATCAGAAAGCTGTTAATGAGAAGTCCCCATGCGGCCATTGTGACTATGTTTCTTGGCAAGCAATATGATTCCAAGCCAGCAAGATTCACTCTGCATGCAACTGCAAATTTTCTGAGTGAAAGAATGCTCTGAGAATGGCCGAAGACAAACATTATATTATCACATACTGTACTAAGGTCTTTGATGTGGTGTACAGTCATGATAATGAGAGTTCAAAGTTCCCTGTCTGTAGTCAGCCTGAAAGAGAAATGTTTAGAACATGCAGTCAACAAAAATGTTCGTGTCAAATTAAATCAGGCAGACAAGCAGGCACTTTGAAATGAAGCAATAGGTCCTCTACTAGTGGGCATTGCAGCTGTCGATACTTCGCAGGTCGTTCAGAGTGACACCAATACTTACGCAAACGACATGTTGATGGTCACATCAATTCAGGATTTGCAGGTAGGTTTCAGCTTAGTTCAGCTGGTAGAAGATAAGAGTCCACAAGTCATCAAAGGGAAACTACGAGTAAATGATGGTCTTCCAGAAGGTTAGGAAAGTGCAATAGGGAGTAGGCAATAGTCAGGAACACAAAATTTGGTGCCACTAATATCTGGGTATCAATATAAAATACTAATGATAAAGTTCTATTGTGCTTATTAAGGACCGCTCAGATATACAGTACGAGCCACTGCAGGAAACAGAATCAAACTTTTCCGATTCACATCTTCGTGACTTGCACACTCCCTCTCAGTAGAACGTTTCACTACATGAGTCCTGCTATAGCTGCTGAGGCTCTGCTAGCGCACACATTGAAGTGGACAAATTACTAATACAAAGACGAGGGAGGAAAAATTGATGTGGCGCAAATGTATGTCACAAAAGCTTTGTTAAACAGAAATCTGACAAAACGAAACAATGATTTTAGAAATGTTTTGAAGCAGTTTGCAGTACATGGATCCTATCACAAACGTTGGGAGTCGAATGGCCCTCGTGTCACAAACGTCAACTGCTTATCATGTGTGATGTGACGTGTGTGGCAACGGTAGCAAGCACAGTAGTCGTCGAACTAAATCGTTGACGCTTTACGCTGAAGATAACTACTAAACATGGTAGGCAATTAAATATATGATTCTGTATAGTGGATGGCGCAACCGTGGCAGGAAGTATTTTTCTGCCTGTGAGGTGACAATCGGTTACAATCTCCGTGATGACAATCGATCTGTAACGATCTGTAATGTTTCCGTATGGAACGTGAAACAAGTAGGAAATCAGTTGAAACCGTTGAAATGTAGTTGAGGTATATTCCAGCTTATAAAATCATGATAATTTTGCTGTAATTAATTATTATTAAATCTGTCAGGATGATCATTTTTGTTTCAGACATCATTATTTATATTTTTGTATGCAATTTTTCGTTATCGTATTTTTCGATTCTGAATAAAGGTCGATGTGACGCTACATATTAGGCAATTTGAAAACGTAGCACCTCGTTATTTTTACATTGTCTGTAGGAATGATTTGTTCTCGTATAAATAAGGGCTCTGTGTAATATCGGAATATGCTTGTATTATTTCGGTAGTAGTTTGGTCATAGGGAAAGGGTATTTGCATATGGTTGCATAATGATTGTATAAAGGTCAAAGTACAGTTTCAATTAATATGGATTCTTTCAGTTTACGATAGTGAAAATTGGCGAAGTTGAGTTTCTGTAATTCGCTTAATATTTTGTAAGGTGCCAGAAGTTACAAAGTAGCCTTCCTGAGCAAATTCCGTGTGGACAGAGTTGAGTGAATTTGGGTATGCTACATTGAAATCGATTGAAACCAATTTTAGTGCAGTATAACGTAAGATAGCAGGTTATTTTTTTGTTCCCACTGTATGTTAAGTCCTTTCCGTTATTTGAAAGACATTGATATCCACTCAACCACATTTACCCAGCTGTAGTTTTAAGATGTGTCTGGTATTTAAAAATCTTGCCAAAGAAGATAAAATATTGCTGGTATGTTGTGCCTTCATTTCATCAGACCTTTTTGTTGAGTGGGCATTAGTTGTGCTTTATATTTTAGAGGTCCATAGTTCAATGATGTGGTTGAAGATGAGATATTGTGATATTTTATGGCTTTCCGTAGTCTTCTCCAAGCATAGTAGTAACTGAGATTGGGCATGATTTCTTCCTTCCACAAGCTTTCCAGTTCACTCTACATTAATCATCATATTATTTTGCACTGTATTATCTGATCTGTTTGAACACTGTTAATTAAATGGTGCTTTAGCTTCATCCACTCTGTTCTAGTAATGCCTGATTTAGAAATATCAGCATCAAGCAGAGGAAAGAGCCAATTGACAGGTCTTGGATATATTTTGCTTTATGCTACATTTTTTTAATCAATGTAAAGCTAGTTGTTGCTTGTTTTAGTTTTTTTAATATAGCCTATTAATATTCACAAACACATGAAAATGTAAGTGGTCTGTTCATGATATGGTACACTACAAAATATATATATATTTCTGATTTTGGATATAAGCCAATAATACAGTCATAAATTATTTCTGCCTTTGTGACTGGTTCTCTTTTACTGTCATTAATAGAATTAAACAAGATACATGTTTGCTAATGGACATATATGACCATCCCTATAATTTATTCTTTTCTTGCATGTTTTGTGTATATGTGTGTGAATGCAAATTGCATTTGCCTAGTTTGGGTTAAGGTCCATTGGCTGGTTTTAAATTCGTAACATTGGGAAACAGTATTTCATATTGATTAAGTTAAAGAACTCAGCACATTGGAACCAACTTTGAGATGAAAATATCACATGACTCATTAGACTGATCATGTCAGCCTTTTTTGGTGTCCTCAGTAAAGATCACAATAAGTTGCTTATTCCTTCTTTTATTGAATTATGTGAAAGGCTGGGCCAAAGAAAACTCTGGGTATGGACTGGACAGCTGGAATTCTATTCTTGACAGGGATGGGTTTTCCTCTTACTCTTTGCCCCCACATCCAGACTAGTTCTGGGGCCCACCCATTCACTCCAGTAAGGGCCAGTGGCTCAAACTATAAGGGTATAGGGTTAAAGCAATCTGGATGTGAAACTAACTGCCGCCTTCAGTTAGTGTTGAGATTAAGAGTGCATGGTTTATACCTTCACTTCACCACACATCCCAAGGCAAAATGGTTAATGAATTATAGGAGCAACTTTACCTTTACTTCACCTTTTATGTAAAGGAGTTTGTGTACATTCAACCTTTTCCTAAAGATCTGTCTAAAGTAACATACCTGAATGTAACACATTGGTAGTTCGTGACCCCTGAATGCTATGCCATGTTTATGGTGAATGGGAACTTTTTTTTTTAGATATTTATAGGTCATTATCATATCTCACATTTAAAGTATGTAATGCAAAAACTTGGAGATTCATGTGGTGTGAAATTTTATAAGGAATATCACTTTATTTATTTATTGTTTATTTAACAATATCAATATGTCAGACTATATAACCTCAGTTAGGATAGCCAGTCTCTGGGATGAGATTTGAACCTGAGACTTCACAGGTATGAAGCAGGAGTGCTAGAGTGCTAGCACCTAGTCATGGCATTAGTTGTTATTCATGTTTTGGAATTACATAAGACTCCTATCCAATGTCTGCCAAGAGTTTTCTGCAGGGGTCAAAATGGTATGATCCTGAAGCAGAAGAGTTTACTCACAAGAAAAACATCTCTGAGAATCTAATTTTCAAATCACGATACTTGCTGTGTTTTTTTTCTTATGTTTAATTACATGCTCAGTATCTCAGAATATATAGCGTTCAGTGGTATGATTACTGAATAATGAATTGAAAAGGATGTGGAAGGAAGCAATCATTGGCTAATTTGAGATATCCCAGAATTTGCCTGAAAGGACTGATGAAACCATGAAAAATTTGAGCCAAGTACTTTATGAATTCAAGTTGGAAACTTTATGTCTGTGCTACCTTACTTGGTGATCTGTGCTGTTGAAGTTGCCAAATTCCATTGTCATCCTAAGTCAGTGAACTTTTCATTTTTTGCTTTGAATTATAGCAAGCTTTAGAAGGATTTCACCAGTTCACTATTTTCCAATCATCCTCAGATGTAGTTTGCAGTATTTTGTATGTTTCATGGGCTGATGACCTGGAAAGCTGGAGCTTATGTTTGGTAAGATTGAGATAGTGGAAATAATACTAACAAGAGAGTACATAAAAACATCCCAAAAATTGTAACATCCAAAGTGTAAAGAGTATATTATTATTTCATTGTAGGCATAAAACATCTTGGCCATATTTTCACTCATGCTGGTGTTAAAGAGTCCATTAGATAAGTTATGGGATGAACTTATTTCCTACTTTCCTTTCACTGTAAATAATGTATGTGTGTGTATACACACATATTTGACATTTGAACATGTTTACCAAGCCATTCTCTAGCACTGATCATCTCCAGGTTCTGCTATTCTGGCTTTCAGGTGTCATGTCACATTGCTCCCTCCTTAAGGCTGCTTGTCTCGATTAGGCTACAGGTGTACCACCAGTTAGGGGGCACAGTCAGACACAAAGCAAGGTGATTTAATAAGCCTAACCCTCTTTTCTTTTCTTTTTTCAAAGTAAGGAAAATAGGCTAAAATTACACATTAGAAGGTGTAAAGGAAGCTTTAATATATGGAGTAACTGTAGCAAATTAAAGTGAAAGAAATTATGCAAGGAGAAAGTAAACAGTTCTTCCTAAAATTAATACATTTTTTCATACTGGGGGCAAGTTCTGGAAAGAGTGTATGATTATTTTCTTTCAGTTTTCCTTTGTATAGGAGACTGTCAAAAATTATAGCTCAGTAATTTTACAGTTTAATATTTTATTTGTATGCATAAATCATAGTACATACGAGGGTTGGAACTTTAATAGTGGTAACACTGCCGTAGAGATGCCATGCAACGGAACAAAATAATGTCGCTTATACCACACGTTAGTTACCTACCTTACCTGAGAGCAAATGGACTCTCCCTTCCCACATCACGTGCATGTGCAGTGACAAGAAGAACAGAGCATCATGTTAGCTGGCGGTCTAATGTATTGTCACGATGTTTTCGAAACAGGAACAACGGAGTTGGATAAAGATTGAATGTGCCAGAGGCCATACAGCACAACAGTGTCATCAAGGTCTTAAAGAGGCTTGCGAGGAATCTGCATTGCCTTACAGAACAGTGGCAAGGTGGGTAAAAGCCTTCAACGAGGAATGCCAAAATGTGGCAGACATGCGTTGGCCAGGTCGTCCTAGTGTCAGTGAAGAAGAAGTGTGGCAAGCTGTGGCTGGTTTGTTCGATTGATGGGGCTGGGAAGTGCTGTACCATCCATCATACTCCCCGGACTTAAGCCCTTGTGACTTCGACTTGATTCCTAAGATGAAGGAACCACTTCGTGGCATTCGCTTCAGAACTGTTCCAGAAATTCTTCAGGCAGTAGACCGCTCCATTCGAACTGTCAACACAACAGGTGCTGCTAAAGGTATCCTATGACTTCCATATTGCTGGCAACGGGTTGTACACAATGCTGGTGACTACATAGAAGGACAGTAAAACTTCGAAACATGCATCTATTTTGTATCAGTTGTAAATAAATAGTTGCCACTATTAAAGTTCCAACCCTCATAGTATAGATTTATAGTACCTAAAATTTGTCAGAGACTTATTATGCAAGTGTATAACAAGTGAATAAAGTATTTTGTGTTATACATGCATCAGCGGTCCTTTCTTCAGTTGTTTTGTAGCTTTCAGTAATCCTGGGCAGATAGTGGGATAGTACCTCCACATCACTCCCACATTTTCATTTATAATCATCCTCACATCTCATTTAGTGGTCTGCTTGTAATGTACCATTCTATATATCCCACAGATGAACCATTACAAACTCCGTGAATATCATCTTGTTAAATGAATTTGTCAATATCATGTTTACAGATACAGGTGAACCCCAGGTTACAAATGTAATGTGTTCTTTGAAATATGTTTTTAAGTTGAATTTATTTTTTTAAAAAGATATATCATTAAATTTGTTAATGTTATTTTGTTAAGATGTTCTTTAGTGAGGGATCCTGAGTTCATTAAATGAATTTGGACTCACACTTTACCAGTCCATGCAATGTTTGTAGATATGAATTGCTTGTTTCTTGAAAGTTTGTAAGTAGAGGTTCACCTGTACATATAATATCCAGCTTAGGCCACAGATTTTCAAAGAGCTGGCCAGTAAGATATATATTTATCTTGTGGATTTGGTACCTATGTATAAATGTCAAAGATCAAACATAAGATCTAATTAATTTACTTACAGAAAGCTCAATATGATAAGGTATCTTTATGGTTATCAGGCAACTATTGTTTAATTCAATCTGCTTTCTGATGTGTTATTAACAGTAATTGATATCATTATACACGCATACAGTGACATTCATTACTGTAACTTTGTCATAGATTCTCACAAGACATAAAATTCATCTTTTACAATGAGTGACTATGAGGATGCCATTGAGACCTTAGAGGATGCAGCACTGGGTTTAGGTGAAGGTCTCCGTCGACGTCCAATATGGGATCCAGAGAGGTAAATATCTTATTGTTTTACTTTTGAAGTAGAGCTCCAGTTTATAATGTCAGTTAAGAGAATAGGCAACATACAGTATTGTATTTAGATTAAGTGAGATGTCATTATTTAATTTCTTTATCTCTTTAAGGGTGTTATTTCATTTAATGACATGGACATAACCATGAACCAGTATGATGCTATAAAATCTTTATGTTTCTGAGACTGTTTTAAATAAGCATAAACGATAATTCATGGTCCGTTCCGCACTCATTCTTATTTTTTGTTCTATCCCTTTGGCTCCCACATTGTACAAGTAATTTTGGCAGTCAAATAACTTTCTGTAATGATGTGTTGACGTATTGCCTGACCCAAATATCCGAGATGGCCAAAATTTTCTTTCACGATATACTGTCTGAGCTGAAATATGCAGGTTTGAAGGTGTCAGTATCAAACCCCCCCCCCATACCTTTCTGTCTGCTACAGCCTTTCAGATTGCATTGCCTAGGAGTCTTTCCATTCTTTTAAGTCCTGATGATTCCCTTGTGTACAGAAAAACCATGCCCTTAATTGACAATTCTGATTTCCACTTCCATAGAAAAATGCATAGTCATGTGCCAGTTCAAGCCATTCTTGTCCAGTCTGACTTGTACAAAGTCATGTATAAGAATGTTTGTACAATGTGAAGTAAGCGTTTCATGCTGGTTCCATTTTAGTTATAAAGTGGGAAGTATACTTAAAATTAACATTTGATAGCAGTAATTCTGTTTATAAATGCCATGGAATTTAGTGTAGTGTAATTACAGATGTGCTTAAACCAACAGGGAGTCACTTTCATCAGAGATCCCTGTTTCATTATGTGAATTAACTGCTGGATGATGATGCCAGTGTACTAGCAGAGGAGGATGATGGTTTTTGGATGTCCTTTACCAAGTACTCCTGAAGAGTAATTACAAATATGCTTAAATCAACAGGGAGTCACTTTCATCAGATATCCCTGTGTTTCGTGATGTGAATGAACTGCTGGATGATGATGCCAGTGTACTAGCAGAGGAGGACGATGGTGTTGGATGTCCTTTACCAAGTACTCCTGAAGATGAGCATCTTTTGGACTGTGAGGTGAGAATGTGTGATAGGCATAGACACTCCTGCTGTTCTGTAACTGTGAGTCTGGCTGTGCTGACATGTGGAGTGGACCTGACAGGTCCTTACACCATGCCCATTGGTAATCTATTGTGCAGCGCCCTCTGTTTAAAATCCCTCAGAAATCCTTCACTTTGAACAATGCGTAGTATCTTACTTAAGGGGGCATCTTGGTAGTCACTGTTATGTTGGCAACTCTCAAATACTGAAATATAATGTTAAGAGTTGGCAACATCATAGTAAACAATTTAAGAACTAGGTTATTTCTTGTTACCTAAGCGATGTTTACTGTTGTGTGTAACAACAGTATCTTTATATTATGTGTTACTATGGTTGTAAGTTTGTATGTATATAAAGCGTACTTCTGTGTCAAATTTCTGAGTCTTAATAAAGCAGAAATAGAGTGAACACTGATCCTTACTTATCATTCGATCTACGGGAAACTGAAAATAACAGTCACCTGGTTCCATAAATTAGTGTTGCAGGTGGCAAAATCTTAAGTAAGCTATAGCCTCACAGTCACATAGGACATGTGTGGTTGATTATTTTTTTTTTCCAGACACCTTTCACAGGTGTGATTATTGGTTAAGCCTAGTTTGAAAGGCATGCTTTCAAGTGACAATGGCCTGTAAGTAGACTTACAAGTATAACTCACTGTATGTGGTGTCTAATTATTTTTAATACTTCCCTACTTCCTTTGGCAGATGGTCCTTGTAGGAAATCCTTTCCATGTTTAAGTCCTGTTAAGAACTTGCAATATTTTTTATGCCCTGTTTGTTCAGTCCTTGACAACCTTCTTTCCACTCCATTCTGAAATGTTGCATGCTTGGTCAGGTCCTGTAAAAAGATGTTCAGTTCCCATTCTTATGACCCAGCATCCATATCAGTTGAACTATCTTATTTTCAGCCAGTTTTGCAAGGTATTGCTGGCAGTTCTAGAAGAGTTTTGGGTAGTTTCTTGGGGCGGGGTGAGACTGAGTCCACTTGGTACATTGGCTGCTATTTGGCCTATTGTATCAACACCTGATGATAGATGATAATGAGTGTGGAATAGTCGGTAGAATGAAAATTGGCAGAAAAAACTGAAATACTCAGAGAGAACCTGCCCTGGTGCCACTTTGCCCAACACAAATTCCACATAACCTGACCTGGGATTGAACCTAGTCTGTAGTGACCACCTGAGCTATGGCATGACCTTCCTGTTGGGTTGAAATATGTATTTCTGTTCAGTTCTCTCAGGGAATCTGACCATGAAAGGTTTGTTATAGACATGTCTCGGTATCATTTCATCAGTCCCCATCTGTGGGATCTTTCATGCCCTGAGACGTCTATGCATGTCCATATCCTTCTGATTTGGGTTTCCATTGAGGTCAGACACATCTAAAATGTGGAACTTAACTGCAAACTGTATGATGCAAGACACTGCTAGTAAGAGCATGCAGTACTGAGGTGTGCCGTCACACAACTGAAGCCTCCCCATTTATCGCTGCTGCTGCTTCAACATTCCTCACTTGGTGAAGGCGAGACATTATGGCTGTAATGGTACCAATATGGGCAGATTACTGCTGCCAAAACATTTGTGATTTTCACCACTTTTTCTCAGAAAAAAATAGTGTGAGCAGATCGCGTTACTCTGTGTTTAAAAAGTATCACTTTACTTTCAGTATTTGTGTGTCATGATTTGTTTCCTTCAGAATGAAATACTATATCAGCCATGCCATGCCATGGTGCTGGCTGTCAGTTGCCTGCTTTCCACTGGGACAACCCAAATTGCTTCTAGGTCCGATCATATGGGCTGTGATGTGGACAATGTGGCCCATGAGTGGGTTTTTTCTTGATACTTAGTTTCCCCTGCCAGTTCTCATTCCAGCAACTGAAAATAATAATGCTTCTGCAGATTAATCAATTAAATATTTGATATTGGCACTCATTTTGCTTGTTACATATTTCATCACTTGAAAATGCATTTGAATTACACTTAATTTTGTACAGATTACAGAGGTATTGAAAGCAGGTGTTCTATCAGATGAAATAGATCTGGGAGCATTAGCACATAATGCTGCAGAGCAGGCTGAAGAATTTGTACGGAAAGTGTGGGAGGCATCATGGAAAGTCTGCCACTTCCGGAACCTGCCTCGCTGGCTTCAGGATAATGACTACCTCCACGCTGGACATCGACCTCCATTACCAAGTTTCTATGCTTGCTTTAAGAGTATCTTCCGAATTCACACGGAGACTGGAAATATATGGACCCATCTTCTTGGTATGTAGAATACTTTATCCCTTGAGAAAATTTGTTTAAACAGCGGTAGTTTGGTAATACGAAGGATATCCGGAAAGTAAAGATGCAAAGTACAGAAAACATTTGTAAAGCATTTTTGGAGGAATTCGTTTGTAGCACTTTTACAACACACCTTAGTGAGCCTGTGAACTATATTTTTTTATTCCAGTGCCGTAGAATATCCCACCTGTTCTCTGTTCTTGACACTTCTGGTCATTGTTGATGAAGTTCATTTGTGGTTAAAATTTTTAAATCCGCTTAGTGGGGGGTGGAGTCCAGCTGAGTCCACTGGGCACAGCTGCTGCTGATTGGCCTATTGTAGCCTGCCCCAGGTGATTATGATGATGGAGAATTTGGTGGAACGAAGATTAGCAGGAGAAACCGAAGTACTCTGAGAAAACCTGCCCCAATTGGATCAATATTTTATGAAGGAACTCTTGATGTTCATTGATACATTATTGAAATACTGAATGCATTTTTCATTAATTTGGCATGTGCAGAAGAAAGATTCAGTTATTTTATGTAAGACAGTGCTACTCCACACAGCTAAGAAAGATATCCAAGAATTAAGCAGTGTGTTTGGTGAACTAAATGGGGAGGATGGAATTATTAGCAAGGGTTTGTGGCCCCCTAGATCCCCGGATCTAGACCCCTATAAATTTTATTTATGGGGAAGACTCAAAAGTGTTGTGTATGCTAACAGTCCACATGACCTGGAGGCTCTAAAACAGAATATTTATGAAGAAATTTACAACATTCAGCAATGTTAATTGCAACAAGTTTCCCAAAATCTGTTGAAAAGAACTCAGACATGTCTCACAGCAGAGGGCAGACATTTGATCATCATCTTTGGTGTTGAGTACAGTATTAATTACTGTATTTGATTAATAATTAGGGAAAGAATTAAACAATGTGTGCTAGCAGTTCCAGCTGCATGGCAGCATTTTTCTCAGCAAGCGATGCAGCACTTTCGCAGGAAGTTGTCAACGCAAAAATCAATGTCCAGTCAGCCTGCACTCTGGACACTCTGTGTGTGTGTGTGTGTGTGTGTGTCTATACTATATATGTTTATGAATAGTGAATTTGGAAGGCCATGGAAGGCTATGTTCTGTTTCAGGGCACTGTCCAATCAGCCTGGAGTGACCAGTAAAACCTTAAAGGTCCCATTCCAGGTTGCAAAGTGCTGTGTCCAAGAAATGAACCATGTACCTTCCAAGTAGTATTCAAATTTATTATGACAAACGTGACATGATCCAATAATTTCTAGGCTGGAATTTTTTCTCTGTGATAATTGCATTTACTCTCTATTCCGTTCTGTAGGGGGGCAAACTACAGCATATGCCAGTTTCTGCTCTGTCCTCTAGAAATAATGTGAGAGCTTTATCTGTAATATGTTAGCCAGAAAGTACAAGGAGTACAATGAAGTGCTTAGGGCTTAAAATTCAGAAATGGTATCGTGTCTTATGTACGTGGTGTGTTCAAAAAGTATCAAACCTTTGGTCGGCAGAAAGGCATTTATTGATTTGGAGGTACAAAACCATAATCCCCTTCAAAGTAGTGCCCTTGGTAATGCACACACTTCTCCCAGCGCTTCCGCCATTGTTGGAAACACTTCTGGAACGCGTCTTTTGGAATGGTGATCAGCTGGGCCATCGCATTCTGCATGATGTCTTCTCTTGACTCAAATTGGGTTCTTATCAGTGGCATTTTCAGCTTGGGAAATAGCCAAAAGTCACACGGAGCCATGTCGGGGGAATAGGGAGCCTGACAAATCACAGGGATGTTGTGTTTGACGATGAAAGTTTGAATCAGATGCACAGAATGGGCAGGTGCTTTATCATGATGGAGCTGCCAAGTTTTTGCTGCCCACAGATCCAGTCATTTGTGCTGCATAGCATCACGAAGGCGACGAAGGACCTCCTGGTAGTATTCCTTTGTGATAGTTTGGCCTTGTGGTGCGTACTCATGATGCACAACCCCACGGGAGTCTAAGAAAGCAGCCTACATTACCTTGACATTGCTGTGGACCTGCCGTGCTTTTTATGGCCTCGGGGATGCCAGATGTTTCCACTATGATGACTGCATCTTGGTTCCTGGGCCGTACCCATAAACCCACGACTCATCGCCTGTGATCACGGTGTTCAGAAAGTTGGGGTTACTGTTTGCATTGTCCAGCATGTCCTGTGCGATTTCCAGATGGCGTTGCTTCTGCTCCATTGTTAGCAGTTTCGGTATGAATTTCGCGGACACTCTCCTCATACCCAAATCCTCAGTCAAAATTGAATGTACCGATCCAATTCTTACCCCTATCTCATTCGCAAGTTCTCGGACTGTGATACGATAGTCATCCATGACCAAAGTCTGCACTTGCTCAATGACGTTCTCATTTCGGCTTGTTGAGGGTCTGCCTGAATGCGGTTCGCTGTCCACCGATGTGTGGCCATCTTTGAAGTGGTTGTACCACTCCTTTATCCGTGAGTTGCTCATGACATCGTCCCCAAAAGCCTGTTGAATCTTGCAAATAGTTTCCACTTGGGTATCGCCAAGCTTTTGGCAAAATTTGATGCAATATCGCTGCTCATGTTGTTCCATCATTTTACACCTTACTGGAATCCAACGAGTGCTCACTACACGTCCTCACTCATAGGCCAACTTCCAGCGACTGATGCTTTCTGCGGGCAGGAAAAAATTCACGACTGCACATGAATGTCCCCTCCACATCTCCACCGAAGGGAGCCTCCTGTGCTTCATTGGTTTACGCAGGAAAAAAGAAGGTTTGATACTTTTTGAACACACCACGTAGTAGGAGAAACTTTTCTTACTTAGCTTTTAACATGCCAAGACAACAAAATGTCTGTTTTCTCTAAAGTTAATGTTGATGTTACAGGTTGTGTGGCTTTCATTGGGGTAGCAACCTACTTCTTGACACGCCCAAGTGTTGAAATTCAGCTACAAGAGAAACTAGTGTTTGCAGCATTCTTTGCTGGTGCTATTCTTTGTCTAGGACTGTCCTTTGCCTTCCATACAGTACATTGTCACTCGGAATGTGTCGGTAAATTATTCAGCAAGTAAGTATCATCTGATATAGATATAGGGCAGGTTTGTGGCAGTGACAAAGAAGTTTGCCAACTAGCTGCTTTGTTTAATAGTACATAGTGTCTGTTCATTTATTTCTCTGTGGTTACTGTGGTTATTTACCCCTGTTTTATACTGAAGACATGTCTGTAAGGCCAGTAGGAAGTCCAGTGGGTAGTTGGATACATTGGACTGAATATAAAGAAGAAGAAGAAGAAGAAGAAGGTACAGTTATATATGAAATTAGAGAAAGGTGCTTCCACAAAATGGTTAAGTGCAGAGTGTTGGGTAGGTACATCTACATTACATGGCCTATACCAAGAAATCTAGAAATCCAAAATTACAGCTTGGCTTGAATTCATGGCATCCTAGAACAGAGCATTGATACCAGTATAAATTGAAGTTCTCATGACAGTGATTGTTCAGATTTTGATATTCTGGGTTGTGATACCTTATATTCTTTAAGTGGATACCATTGTTTTGGAGAAATGTGAAAACACTATTGTGGCCCTATAAAGGCTCATCTTCCTTATCACCATTCCTATTTTTCCAAACTGTACTTGCTCCCTCTCATGGGTTTGAGTGACCACCTTTCATTGCCCCCATCTATATAATCCCAACCAGTTAACTGTACAATTCTTCAGCCATGAAAACGGAGACGATGTAGTTCCCCAAAAAGCTGGTATCAGCTTACAACACTAGATAGTGTCACAACTCAGAAGACAGAACCTGACATATTTTCTGCATCATAGTGGTTGGCTCTTATGTTAGGGCTTGCATGCCAATTTAACTGTAAATATTGCTCAAAATTAATTTAGTCTCACAAAAATTGTTGTATAGTACCTGTATTTGGAGATTTCATTTTCACATTAAAATGTGGTTGAGAAGAAGGGAATTGAACTGAGTTCTGAGCAGAAAATTGCAGGGACCTTGAAGGCTGTAATATTCAGATTCTTCATGCACTTTCCTTAAATTCAGTTGGAGGTCTCTTTTAGAGTTCAAGAAATTTAATTATTTGTCACTGCTCATTTTTACATGTTATGACACGATGCTGAAAATGCAGAATGTTGGACTCATGGAACTCACAGAGGTATCTGTGTCTACAAGAAGTTTTATTAAAACACACTTCCACTTTGAATATATGCACAATAGTCAGAAGTGGCTTCTTATAATTGGTCCACAACAAATATATATATGGCAGCATGCCATAGGCAGGCCTTACAGTGACAGGACACTTAGAGGGAGAGTCCATAAAACCAAGTAATAGTGGTATAACAGATTGTGAAACAATAGTGAATACTTGTAGAATGTGTATATTTTTAAGTAAGATTAATCTGAATCATGTACCGTCACTGTCACATGACAGTATTAAAGATTTCTACACATACTACATTTTTCACAAAAATAATTCTGGTAAATAGTAAACAGTCAACTTTTGTGACATTCCAAATTTGAGACCTTAAAAAAATTGTCATAGTTTTTGTAGACTTTCATTAAATATTGTCACATGTATGAGGGATTCGATGGAGGTTTTGGATTGGATGGTGGATTTGTTGACCAATTTAACACACATTTCATAATTTCAATTAATTATAGTATTGTCTTCACTAGTAGTTGTCTGGTAATGGTTTCTAACAGTGCATGCTTCTGGCCTCAAGTCCTGTCTGAATGGTGGCTCCCTTCCAACTGCCTGCCTTCCTTACAACCGACTTGCGGCCATTTCACACCAGCCTCTTAGTCTCCCCTTCACCACCTGATTATCAACTGACTCTTTTCTTCACATTTCTATACAGAACTGACTTTGGTTGCCCCAGTTGTCTTCCTTTTAACTCCTCAGCACAGCCCATGCATATATATATAAAGTAAAGTAAAGATATCCCTGTAGCAGGTTGTAAAGGCCCATACGGTTGTGAGATGAGGGGTCCACATTATCTAGACAGTCGGCTCAAAGATGGTAGTAAGGTTGTCAGCCTTATGCGCTGACTGTGCTTTACTCCCCAGGAAAATTATTTAATTAATTCCTGGTATTCATTTCTGTTAGAGGCTGACTTGACCCCAGGGCCATATCATCATCATCATCATCATCAGTAATCTGTCATGCGACAGGTCCACAGTCTCTTCCAAAACAGTGTCTCCACTTAATGCGATCTTCTGTTTTTGGAAAGAGACTATCCAGGAAAGTGATAATGTGGTAGTTTTTCCATTTGCTTTCCACATCGCAGTACAACAGCCGTTCAAACCACTCTGGTCACGCCTCTTGCTATACGAACTTGAACCATCTCGAGCTCTGTGCTTCAAGTCGCTGCTGATGACGCCGCTTCCGACATCAGTAGCTACGCTACCGCTGGTATAGCTCTCAGGGTCCTTGGCATACCAAACCCCCTCACCACGATAAGGTGGAGACACCAAGGAGGGGGAGGGCCATATATATATATATATAAAAACTTGATTTGTTTTATTTTTGAAAGGTAGATGTAATAAGAATCTTTGAGCTGAAAAGTAATAATAAACATTTCCAGATTTTGAGATTTTGTTCTTCTCCAGAGTTTATTTTGAACATGATGCCTATTTGTAGTTTTTTACTGTTGTTGCTTGGAGCTCACATATACATACAAAATTTCATGCCTTATCATTTTGAAATTTCATAATTTATAGGGGAACCTGTAGCACACATTAAGTTTTCATTAGATTGAGATAATGGCTGAGGGTGGAGAAATCCTTTCCGCAGATCATATCGGAGAGGACTGTTTAGGCCTAGTTGATGTGTTGTGCAAAACCCTAGCAGACATGACAAAAAATAGCATCTGTAGGGTTAAATTTTTTAAATAAATTAATTTTTATTCCATGTACGATTTGAGGTTCTCACAGCGGTGTATATGAAGATATATATATGGGATATAACGCTATGTAGCCCACTGAAAGTCAGTTGACGTTTCAGAGAAACATGTTGTATTCATCTTCAGGGTCAAATAAGTGAACAAGATACCAGCGTGGAAGCAAGCTTTGCATGTATCTTTGCTGGTAACTTGCTCAGCTATTTGACCCCGAAGATGGCAGTGATATGTTCCTCCAAAATGTCAGTTGACTTTCAGCGGACTACATGGCGTTATATCCCAGAAGATAGTACTCTTCAATTTTTATTCCAGGTTAGATTATTGTGGCATTGCAATGCTCATCATGGGATCATTTGTTCCGTGGCTGTATTATGGCTTTTACTGCCAGTTCCAGCCAAAGCTCATCTACCTCAGTGTTGTTATATGCCTTGGAGTATCTGCAATCATTGTCTCTCTATGGGACAGGTTCAGTGAGCCTAGGTATCGACCTCTTCGTGCAGGTAAGGACTCTTAATATTGCCCGGTATTTTCATTTAATTTTCTGATCCAGAATATGTTAAATGTCTGTCATCATTTTATCACCACCACTGTTGTCACTGCCACTGTTATTATAAGCTTTATATTTTCATACAGTTCACTACATGATTTCATTTTTTCTAATATTAAGGAGTAAAGAATTTATTCTATGTTGTGTCATCTGAAAGTCACCCTGACCACTTGTTCTTGGTTTTATATTAACTCTGGAATACCATGATTCTGTAGCATAATTATAGACAAGGATTTTACTTCTTGTTGTATGATACTTGTCTAATGCCATGTGCACTTGTGTTTTTAATTAATGTCATTAATGCCGCAGTTTGTAATCATGCTTCTGTAATGTTAAGAGGCCCTATGAACCCAGCAGTTTCTTATGGAAAAACAAAAATTTCTTCCTTTCTGCAACGGTTTCCTAAAACTTTGTAATATTACATTAAGACAAAAATAAGTGTTTTTAAAAACATAAGAAATCTAAATTTGATTAGCTATACATTATTTTTCTTACTATCAGAATTGGTTGAAACTACTCTTAAGAAAGACGGTCTTGAATAAAAATCGTGAACGATATTTTGTGGACTCAGCCAAAGCACTTTTGGACGTGTCTCTGTATTTAGAAGGAATGACCATTCAGTTACTCAGCGTGAAGTAGGAAACAGTACTGACCTACAGTATATTGCTAAAGCCTTTGCAGATCACTTTACAACCATTTTTAAATCTTCAGCTTCTGTTCATATTTCAAAATAGTTCTGATACTAGTAATTTTATATTGTAGTCATCTGCATGTGTCTTACCCTGGTGTCAAATGGCAGTTGGTCATAGCTCAACAGAGTGCATTGAACCAGATGACAGATGACATTCCTAGTTTCATTACTAAAAGCTGTTCTGAAAGTTTTATATTTATTCTAAATTACATTACATTTTTAATTCTCATTTATTGAAAGCATAGTTTCCCTCCTAATGATTCTGCATATCTCTCTGAAAAGGCTGACACTAAAAGGGGTAATGATCCATGTGCTAAAATTAATTTTTCAACCTTCTATTATATGCTGATCTAAAAATGCTTCATAACGGAAATTTTTTGGAAGATTGTAAATTTCTATAATCTGATACTGATTCTTCGGATTTGAGGTTCTTGTGCCAGTGACTATGAAAAGTGGGGTTTTCTGTGTAATTTGGAGAGACCCAGGTGTTTTGAAGGAACATATTGCCTCCAACTTCAGGGTCAGAAAGCAAGCCATGCAAGAAACTAGCAGGAGCTACAAATTGAGCAAACTGTATGAGAAAAATTTGAGCTGATATAGGCCATTCCAAGACTGAAAGGAACTATTAAATTGCCAGTGCGAGCGTTGCTCACAGCCAAAAAGGAAGGACACATCACATACACAGTACACACAGAAACAACTCCCAGTTGGACGAACCATACTATTCACGAGTTTGAATTAAGACATATAGATGAATAATCTTAACAAGTTTTAGTATATACAAATTTTATTATAGTTGACAAATATTGTACTTTCTAAATAATTTTATGAAAGACACAAGATGACAAACAATGTAATAGCGTAAATAACGAACCTGAAGATGGCACTGTGTTGCCGAAACATGTAGTAAGAAGTGACATATGAAATTGAGTGCACTACAGGACGGCCATTACATACATATCATGGATGAAAATCAGTGCTACAGGACGCTAAAATACAACATAATGTCTTCCATTCTGTTCTAGGGGTATTCATGGTATTTGGACTTAGTGGAGTGGTGCCTGCTGTTCATTATGCCATCTCTGAGGGGTGGTTTAATGCCATATCACGAGCATCTCTTGGCTGGCTTATACTAATGGGCTGTCTATACATCCTTGGAGCAATGTTTTATGCTTTGAGGGTACCAGAGAGATTCTTTCCTGGGAAATGTGACATATGGGTATGTTCTCATGTCATTATAAAATATGACGTGATCATACTAGTAATATCTTGCAGTTCTAAAATTTGAAGTGTGGAATTTAATACACTATATCTACCTCCCATATGCAGATGCCATTACATTGTGTAGTGATCCACAGTTACAGTAAAGACTAGTTGGATTTTGATCAGATTACAGTATATCCAAAAATTTTCACCCATCATTCAACTGCCTAAGAAGATTTCTGTGCAAGAACGTCAGTAAAAATGCGACTTTGAAAGAGAACATGGAAATATATTAAAGAGTGGAAAAGAGCGAAATCATTTTAAAAATTGTCAGAGTTTCCCTCATGCATCTGGTAGATTCGTATATCTGGTGCATTCCGTTCTCCATAAATGCTTGTTAACAGGGAGTTGACTGTATTGTACATTCAATTATTTTATTTTTAAAATATTTGTTTTTACTAAAGTTAAGTGTTATAAATAGAAAAAAGACTTCCCTTATCATGTGTAAAATTTGGCAGAATCACGATTTCTTAGTAAAAGGTTAAGTTCCTTTACTTAATTAAGCACCATGCAGTGATAACATAGGAGAGTGGAGGTATACCCCATGCATTTTTAACCTTGTCGCTGAATGGAGATGAGTGGTCAGTTTTATGCTCTGTCACTTCACTCCTGGCAAGAGCCCCAAAATATCCAGTGGACAGGAGGCTGTGCAGGCCCCGCAATCAGCCTGCATGTGGTGGCAAAGAGAATAATCTCTTGCCCCTGCTAGGAATCAAACTCCAATTTTCAGGCTCTCCAGCTGGTAGACTGGTCGCTATGTTGAATTAGCTACCCAGCTCTAAAGTTGTCGATATGGAAAGTACAGTTGATGATTTTCACATTTTACTATGTTGACTGTTACTGTAAGGTCAAACAAAAGCTTATGGTGACATGGAAGTGAAACAGTATATGGTAATGCTCCTTAAAAACACTGCAGTTATAAAATTGTGTTTTTTTCATCATTTAACCACATTATTATTATTATTATTATTATTATTATTATTATTATTATTATTATAAGTCAGAAATTTATATGAAATTTCTGATCTGCATTTAATGTAATAATGAAGAACAGTGGTCACTATTTAATTTGTACCATTCTTATATGAGCACAGTGTGACGAGATATTTTTTTTCTCGTGCAACCGGTAGGTTCATTAACTGGCACACCGAATTCCCCCCATATATGCCAGATAATGGGGAGTTTACTGTATATTCAGAAATTTTGCTGAAGATGGGTTATATTCTGTCATCTTTGCCCTAACAAGCTATTCCTAACTAGCCACAACTTTTTTCTATTGCACTCTGTGAAAGTGCATTTCCCAAATATTTGACTTCAGTGCATTTAAAAAAAATGTATTAGCTGTATTTATGTTATGATTTTTTTTTCATTCTGATGATGAAACATGAACATGTGATTACTTACCTCTGCATTGACTTCCAGGCCATCCGTGTTACTAATGCGTAATAGAGCTGCCGTTCTTTTCTTTTGTCGTGTTTATGTATTCACTCAGTATATTGCCACCTTCAACATAGAATAGAAACTGATGTCCCCAACACAATTTCATTCACTCCCTTCTGGTTCATGGACCTTTCTAAAGCAAAGTTGCAGAGCAGTGGCAGTTCAGATTATTCAGCATACTGTAGCATACATCAGCCAAATGTTCACCTGTATGGACATAACTAGATTTCACTTAAACAAATTTCAGTTCATTGGTACATATAATTTTTTCCCCCCCTGACACTACAGGCCCAGTGGGCCTAGGCCTACCTCCATGAACTTCTCCGTTCACTTCGGTTTTTCTAGATCTTAGACATAGGATAGGACTCCTTGGGCGAGTGATCAGCTCGTCGCAAGGCCTCTACCTGTACCAAACACAGAAAAACACACACAAACATCCATGCCCTGAGTCGGATTCAAACCCACGATCCTGGCTTCCGAGCAAGCGAAGACAGTGCATGCCTTAGACCACTCGGCTACCGTGACCGGAGGTACATATAATTACATGTACCAATTTTATGAAGATTGACACTATTTAATACAATCAAAATATAAAACTGAGTTGACCTGTGCAAATAACCATGTAAATTTAAATTAAACTATTTTACATATTATTTTATTAATAATTTCATAACAATTGTAATATGGATTAATGTTTTTTTCCCCCCCTGCACTACAGGCCTAGTGGGCCTAGGCCTACCTGCATGAACTTCTCCGTTCACTTCAGTTTTTCTAGATCTTACACATTCAGTAGGACTCCTTGGGTGGGTGATCAGCTCGTCGTAAAGCCTCTACCTGTACAAAAAAACAGGAAAACGCACACACACAAACTAAACATCCAGTATGGAATAATAGTAATCATAATTACATTTGGGTATTTTATAGCTTTAAATAATGTATCACCTGATGATGGCTCCAAGTGAGCCGAAACATGTCGCATAATTTTAACATAAATGATATAAACTCCGTCTTAAGTGCAAACAATATATTTTGTGTCTTTGATCTTGCTCCCTACACTACATGTTTCGGCCTCAGACGGCCATCATCAGGTGTATAACACTCACGTCGCTGTCACACTGCACCCAGTTCAAAATTTAACATCTAAAACACTCTCCCTGTCATTATCAACTTCTACTTCGTTGATAGCTGTCCACCCGTAGATTACTTCACACACGTTAATTATGAGTTTATTGTAATAGCACCATAATAAAATCTTTAGTTCTAATTTTAAACCTTTAAATTCTTGTCCAAATTTTAAAATTTTT